TTTGATTCCCGTCAAGGGCATGTTACCTTGGTTGCGCGGCCCATCCCCAAGTAGGGGGTGTGCAGGAGGCAGCTGATCGATGTTTCTCTCTCATCGATGTTTCTAACTCTCTATCCCTCTCCCTTCCTCTCTGTAAAAAATCAATAAAATATATTAAAAAAAGAAAATGTGGTATATATATCTCACAGGTACACACAATGGAATATTATTTGACCATTAAAAAGAAAGATCTTACCATTTGCAACAACATGGATGGACCTTGAAGGCATTATGCTAATTGGATCTGAAAAAAAGACACCATATGATCTAACTCAGGGGTCCTCAAACTTTTTAAACAGGGGCCCAGTTCACTGTCCCTCAGACCGTTGGAGGGCCGGACTATAGTTTAAAAAAAAACTATGAACAAATTCCTATGCACACAGCGGCGGCAAAAACACCCGGCGGGCCGGATAAATGTTTTCGGCGGGCCGCATGTGGCCCGCGGGCCGTAGTTTGAGGACCCCTGAATTCTAACTTATATGTGGAATCTTTAAAAATACTCCCCAAACCAAGCTTACAGATACAGAGAAGATTGGTGGTCGCCAGAGGTGGAGGGTAGGGGGAATTTGTGAAGAGGGTCAAAAGGGCAACTCTCGCCCTGACCGGTTTAGCTCAGTAGATAGAGTGTTGGCCTGCGGACTGAAGGGTCCCAGGTTCGATTCCGGTCAAGGGCATGTACCTTGGTTGCGGGCACATCCCCAGTAGGAGGTGTGCAGGAGGCAGCTGATCGATGTTTCTAACTCTCTATCCTTCTCCCTTCCTCTCTAAAAAAAAAAAAAAAATCAATAAAATATATTTTTTACAAAAGTGCAACTCTCTCATTATAAGACAAACATGTGATAGGAGTATAACATACAGCATGGTAATTATAGCTAAAAACACTATTGCGTATTTGGAAGTTGCTAAGAGTAGATCTTAAGAGTTATCACAAAAAAGAAACAATGTTGTAACAACTTGTGATCATTTCACAGTATATACCAATAGCGAATCATTGCGTCTTACACCTGAAACTAATATACTGTCAATTATACCTCAATGGGCCTCAGCTTTCTGGGCTGTACCAAGAGGAATACGTACAACAGACTGTTTCAGTCTGTTTGGGCTGCTACGCCAAAATACCATCAACCGGGTGGCGTATAAACAACAGAAAGGTAATCTCACCATCCTGGAGCCTGGGAAGTCCAAGGTCAAGGTGCGGGCAGAGCAAGTGACTTGTAAGGAGGACCAGCTTCTAGGTCCGCAGCCAACCATCTTCCTGCTCCTCTCCTGATGGAAGGGGGAGGGACCGCTAAGGGCCTTTTTTATAAGAGCTCCGCCCATGGCCTAATCACCTTCCAAAGGCCCCGCCTCCAAATACCATCACATTGCCGGGTAGATTTCAACAGGAATTTGGCCCGGGAGACAGACATTCAGACCATAGCTTGTTTGTTTAGATT